TTCATTTATACAATTAAGCCTTTAAAGGGCACCGGTATATATACCGGTTGTTTGTCAATTTTTTAACCTCTGAAAAAATGCTAATTTCTCTACACCAAAAGCTATAATCGTAAGTTTCTAGTGTTTCCTTTCGATTCTAAAAGGCAACATCACCCTATGAATGCTCAATATTTTGCAGTTATGAAATTAATATACCTTGTTCCAAGATATCATGTTTGAAGATTGATAAATTCTATTGGAGGGAAAGAAAAAATTCAAAAACTGTAAATATATGACGTACACATGCTGAACCTTTTGTATTTACTGCATTTCAGTCGAAATTGATAATTAAAAGAAGATTATGTATACGTTTTTAATACCGGTATATAATACATATAGGCGCCCCTACTGAGGGTACCTTGCCAATAGATGGCAGCACCAGGGTTCTCCTTCTCTACTCTGTGAGATGACAGCTTTTCTTTACATTATAATAGTTTATGATGTAATAATTTGTTTATGATTAACTTGGAAGTTGTTTAGAATTCAGTATTGAGCTCCTAGGAGGCCAAAGGGGTTGAAAATTGAAATAAGAGCTTTGAGGTGTATAAAATAATAAATTTGTTTAACGATGTTTCTTTCTGAACAAAAACATACATTACAACTGATATTTACAAAAAATTAAAAAGTGGCTCTTACGGTCCTCGATAATCTAAAGTGTGTGTGCGTGGGGGGGGGCGATTCTTGGTATCATAGCATGAACCATGGTTTGTTTTTACACAGTATCTAAATCATAAAATATGACTTTCTAGAAAGTATCTAAATCATAAAATATGACTTTCTATGAAAATGCAACATGCTTTCTCATCTGAGTCGTAGTGTTTCATTTAAAATTTTTAAAAATTTTTCGACTGTTATATCTCCTTGTAATATTATACTAGTTCAATTACAGCATGATATGATTTATGCATGCAGTGTCATATATGCTAATTTTTTAAATAAAATAATAATACTGAATTTAAATCAAGTTCAAAAGCTTTTTACCCATATTTTACATAAGTATGTTCAGCTGGCTTGCATCATCAAAGTGCATAAAAACATATATTTTATTTTTTAAATTTCTACGGAAATTAAAAAAGTTTTTATATTTAGACTTACATAACTATATTCAAGCACCCATCTCTACAGATGCACATCAAAAGTACGCAAAATTAATTTAAAAACAAAAATTAACAATTGGCTAATTAACAAAAATTAACAATTGGCAGCTATTGGAAAAAAATGTCTTAGAGGGGTGCCGGTATAAAATATATACCGGCTCTCAAAATTTAGGATTTCACTCTAGATTTTTTTAAGTCTCAATTTTGTGTCCTTATGGTCCATAAGTTATACTTCATGCAAAATCTTACAATTTAAATTATTTTATATACCCCCTCAAAGGGTTAAAAATACCTTCTCCGATATTATTCGTGCACTCTAAAATTGAAATCAATGACGTAATTATCACTTCCTTTTCTTTAATATGTTATAATCAATGGATACACTTTGTTATCATTACTTCTATCAGTACTTAGAGAAAACGATGTATTGCACACTGATTTTATAATATCGGCAACAGTACTTTCTGCAAGCGTTTTCACAATAGCATCAGTTTTGGTATGACCGCAGCTAAATTTTTTTGCTATGGCAGAATCTGGAAACATTGCTTTGAAAAGCTCTTTGGAATGATCCAAAACAGAAAGCGGTAGATTGTGTTCAATTAAAAATCTAACAACAGTCGAACTCCAAGACGAACTACCAGTGTGCAACAGTTTTACTACTATCTCGCTGTACCTGTTTTGTGATCTTTTATTAAGAAATTCATTTATTTCTTTAGACTTTACAGTGCCAAGTTCTATATGTTTTTGAGAAAAAAACATGCCGTTTACAGTAGTCATCTTTTCACCATGTGCAACTGAGAAGTCTTTGTTGTATACACTGCAGTGTGTGTGATTCACAGAAATTACGGATGCTTTAATGCATGGAAATTCTGAAGAATATGAATCTTTAAAATTTCTGCTTTGATAATTTCGGCTTTTTCATTCGAGGTAGCATTATTAAAAAATTTCCACCTGAATCCCAGTTCACAAGATACACGCTAAGCTCTTGCCGTAATACAAGCAATGGAGTGTAATCACGTAAGCTAATCACGCAGCAGCAACGAATCTGGGAGATCAGATGTTGCGGGGGGACTATCGACCAGTCATTATCGACCAGTCATGGAGTTATTGATCTACAATTGGCTATTCTTCAAAACCAGCAACGCACTCAACACGTGATATATGATAACATGAGTATTCAGCCAATCATCGGATGAGTTAGTTGGTTCTGTTTTGCGTACTGGTTCTGATACTCTGTTTCTGTAAAATCCATAATTTTTTCCATACTTTTCATAGCTTGTAGTTTATCATGAATTTCCATAGAAACTATGGAGAATCCATAGTAGTTGGAGTCTATGCACACATAAGGCTGACAAAATGAGCAACCAGTTTCATTCCTTTATTTTCTTGTTGAGGAATATTCAACTGCTTAATGAAGAAGACAATTTTAAGTGCATATATTGCCTTTGGCATCCACTTTGCTTGATGTACAGTGAGTAGTCTTCTCTTGCATGGCTTCCGTCTTTTAGGTCACTTTGGATGTAGTTAGTCATTTTCACTTGCTGTTCTTCCAGTCTTGAACAGGATTTTCTTCATTCAGCATTGTCCAGACTCTGGAACTTATTTTCGAGGTAAAAAGCCTTGCCTACTCTACTTACTGTCAAACTCATACAATCTTTTGTGACCTAAGAAAATATTTATCTTCTTGTGATATGCTAATCATGTCCATCACATTTATCCAGGAAATGTCAAATAATGTGACAAAATCAACCTTTCACATCTGCCATTTCACATTTGCTTTATCTGAGTTTCTCTATTTCTTTTACCCACATTTTGGTATTTTTTGTACAACTTTTGTATACTAGCAGAGATATTCTGCTCTGTCTTAATAGGGATATTTGCTTTACTTTATACTTCCTGCAGTTTAGCACTGATAGATTTAGCAGCATTCCAAAAGCATTTCTTTCATTTCCTTGTGATACTAAATAAAAACTAAAAGTACTTGTTCCTTTAGAGGGTGCCGAGCTCTTAAAAATTCATCACTACACATCTTTTGTAGCAGCCAAATTCTTCTTAAGGTTCCCATTTTAAAGTTCAATCACATAAAAAAAGAATACATGAGAAGCCAATTAGTACAAAGCACTTCAATATTAGAAATTTCACTAGTTTGAGATAAAGGTGATCAATGCATCAAACCCTAAATATTATCCAATCTTCTTGAAATACAGCAAATATATCTTTTACATCTCTGAGATTCTGGGCATAAGTCATGTGAAAATTGCATCTTTGGAAAAATGAAACACCCTAAGGTACAGGGTCTCAACTATTTATATATGTATTTTAAATGACAGGCCGCATGCAAAGAAATCCATAATTTGTAACCTACGTTTATTTATTCAAACTGTGAAATATTCTGTTTCAGAGATAATTGTTACTGGATTACTATAGATGGGATCCAAGTTCTCATTACTGATGAGTTTTGATTTTGTTTGGAAAGTGATTGCAAATATGTAAAGCTGGATCCTTGAGTGAGCAAAACACATGCAATAAAACTGATAATATCCATCAAAGATATCAGTATAAAAGTAGTGGAATCATAGTATTTGGCTGGCATCATTTTGAATGATGCACTGACCTACACATTTTACCAGTGTATATATATGAAAGCTGATATTTACAGATGAAGTTCTTGATACTCATATCAAGTTGCTTATGGGTGCAAGCACTAATAATATCCTCCTAATAAACAATAATGTTCATCCCCTTGCACCATGCTAATTACTAATAATCATAAGTGTGAACCAGCAGAGAATGGCCCTTTTACTCTCTGGATTTCAATCCAGCAAAATATTGATAATATACTTTGCTACTGAGAGAAGTCCTAGATATCTAATACCCAGCATGAAAAAATACCCAGCTACATTTCAGTTAGAGATGATAATACACCTTATTAAATTTTTCTATGTATCTCTAAAATATTGTTATTAGCAACTTTTCCCTACGCACTTTATATTGTATTTCTTATGTTCTTATTAGTCCAAAAGGGCTTTGTCCCTGAAGGATTATTGTTTTCGTTTTGCGATTTTGCATTGAATAACTATAAGTATCCGTTTCACTTTTCAAACTGTTGCCACCAAATGTTAGTCCTGCATTATATTTGAAGAAATTAAATAATGAAAAATCTGCATAAATGTATGTATATTTCTCGCACTGTGATAAAACAACGATACACAGAGCCATTAAATTTTGAATGACGTAATCCTCCTATGAATATGGGCATGTGGAGGACCAAATTTGAAATTTGTTTTGTTATCGATTTCATATTTTGTAAAACTTTAATGAATTTTTGAGTAACATACTCAATGATTTAAAAGCGAGCAATGGAGATAAAAAAACCTTTTTATCTCCAGTGAGCGGAACTGTGTATCGGAAATTCTAAAGATATGCTCATTTTAAAATTATTTTGCGATATTGCTATTGAACTGAATTTTATGGTTTAAGTGCAAAGAACACGATATTTAATAAATAAAGGGTAACACACAAAACGTTAAAAAAATGCCCCTTTGGATGTAATTTAAAATTTGAAGCCTGCAAACTTTTTCTTTTTTTAAACCTCTTTCTTTTTGCAAAAATGGACAATTTTTTATTTTGAAGAATTACTTTTTGTGACAAAATAAAGAAAGTTAAATGTTCTTAGCTCCAAACGCATTAAAATTTCATGAGTTTTTTTTTTTTTTTTTTTTTTTTAGTGTGTTCCTTTAATTTATTTTTGTAGTATATGAATACCTTACTGAGAATACAAAACCTGGAGGGGGGAAAGGGAGGGGCAATATTTTATCCTAAACATAATTTAACTTCTTTTGCTGTAAATATTCACTAACTTACCTCTTTTTTCTTTTTTTTCTTCTGATGCATTTCTAATAATGTCTCAGAACGTTTAGATTTCTGTTAAAGAAAAATATTTATAAATACATTATTTCAGTGAGTCAGCATATACAATAATTATTGTTGAATTAAATCTGAATAAAGAAGTTTCAATTTATTTAATATTTCAAAATGTCCACTTTTCTTCTGAATTATTTTACACCATTCTGTTTAATGGCATAATAGTATTATTCCTTTATATTGTTGAAAGAAACTTGCAAACCAAATTCTGCAGTGACATAAATACTTCCAAAAAATCAAAAATAATTTCACTATTTTAGTAATACTTAAAAAAAAAAAAAAAAAATAAATAAATAAATAAAAAAAAAACCACAGCATTTATAAATTTTTTTCAGAAAGTAATTTCTGCATCCTTTTTCAAATGTTATGAAATCATTCTATCTCAAAGAATTCTGTAAATATTACAAAATGATCCAGCTGGTTCATTCCAATTCTGTAAGAACCTTTAAAACATTTTCCAGTCTAGGGTTTCTATTTTAGAAACATATTTTTAAATGCAGAATAGCAGCTTCACTGACAGCCTTCGTCTGGCTTTTAAATGTACCGGGAAAATGGCTGAAAAATGACACCAAATGTTAAATTTAAAAACTGCGTAGAATTTTACTCTGCAGAACAACTTCATAAAAAAAAGTTATTACGTATAACAAAATTACAATGAAATAAGCAATGTCCCTTAATACAAATATTAATTATCCTAATAAATAAATTAACCAACTTCCCTTTGCAAAATCTTAAGAACTCAAATGGTATAAAGGAGGTTAAGAACTTTGTTTCCTAAAAAAAATCACTCAAAACTTTTCAATATCTTAAAAACAGTAAAATGAGCAATAAATAACATAAAAGAATAAAAAAAACAAAAAATTCTGAAAAGCAAAGTATAATTAATGATATTTTATCTTATATTTTCAAGAGAAAAAAATTACAATGAAATAAGCTATATCCCTTAATACAAATATTAATTATCCTAATAAAAAAATTAACCAACTTTCCGTTGAAGAAAAAAAATCATGCTAAACTTTTCAATATCTTACAAACAGTGAAATAAGCAAAAAATAACATGAAAGCAACTCAAAAAAACATAAAATTCTGCGCAGAACTTTACTCTACTGAACAACTTTATCAAAAAAAATCAATAAAAATGTATTATATATATATATAAATGACAATGAAGTATGCCAATCTCTTAGAAACAGTGACATAAGAAATACGATGAAAAATTGTTGCCAAACCCATATTTCTAAAAGAATGAAACTATTCAAAATGATGCGATTTCATCAAAAATCTATCAAAAACAATAAGACAGAAAATTGTGTCCAAAATCGCATTTTTAAAGATGTGAGATGTGAAAAGTGTACTTGGAAGCTTCATTTATTTTTTTTTTTTTTTTTTAAATACAAAATATCATTTTTCCAAAATTCTTTTTGTAAAAGCAGTCGCAAGGATGAAAGTTTAACATGTCCAAAAATCAAAGAAAAATAAACTGTACATTTTAAAAAATAAACTTTTTTAGAAAAAATCCCGTTGAAAAGGTGTTAAGCTCCCTTTGTTAAATAAATTCGTATTTAATTGATTTATTGAAACACGAAATTTATTTTAAGTTCGTAAAATAACTAAGTACCTACGTTTCATGACGATGTGAAAATGGAGTGTGTAGAATAAAATCTCGCTTTCCTATAGCCCATTATGTCTCAAAATGACACGATTTCGTCATAAAACCTAAAATAAAAAAAAAAAATTCGAATTCGAATTTCGAAAAAATCGCTTCGAGGTGCACTGGCTGTTGTCTAGATGCACCTATGTACCAAATTTCGTAACCGTGGGTCTATTAGCTTATGCGCAGCGCAAATGAAAGACACACACACAGACACTCTATTTCTTTTATTATATGTAGAGATGACAGAAATGACACTACAAATCAGGAAAGATCAGAAAGCAAATAAAATATTTTGCTCCAGAAAATGAGAGAGACAGAGAACTTAAATAAGTGAGCTATAAACTTATACAGACTGGTGTTAAATAAATTACAATACAAGCAGATTTTATTAAAAAATTGTTAAAATCATAAAAAAATGTGAATTCAGTATTAATCACTGACTGTTATTTGCATCCAAATGACTTAACTACTTACTCTATAACTAATAAGTGAGCCATTAAATATACTATAAATACTTACATTGTATTTTTTCAATTTTTTAGAAATTTCTTTTTCTTCTTCAGAATGCCTATGGAAATGACTTTCCTGCATCAGAATAAAAGTGATGTTATTATTATGCATTTGAAAAATGAAAAAAATGGTGAAGGAGGTGAAGGAATATATTCTAATTACACAGATCATATTTCATTTGAGCTATAACATTAAGAAACCAGTAAATACAACAAAAAGTTACATATAATGCACACACATATATAACTCACTAAAAATGAAATAAGTTAGAGCAAGTGTAAAAACAAATATGGAGTCCCCCCCTCTTATCAACTTAATTTGAACTATAAATTAATTCATATATAGTCCAAATTGTATAAGTAAATTTTATGAAAATTTCTATAAAAGGCACAATCAAACTATGGCTTACAGACAACTTGTGGTTCTTTGGTCCCTTAAACGTGGTATAAAATATCTGTGTTGCTATGCGTATCAACATAATACAGGTAAGAAATGTAAAGAAACAATGCACATAAAATATCTATGCTTAAAAAATATTTTTCAGTTATTCAAAGTTGAGTAATAATGTTGGTTGTTTGATCAAAATGGTGAGATTTCCTTAAAAACTTCATTACAGACATATAAAAAAATAGATAAGTGGCGGTAGTCGCTGGGATCAAAAGATGAAACCAGTGTTAATTTAAAAACAAAAAGAATACAGGATGCATGAGTATCAGTTTTTTATGAATAGAGTGCCATTCTATATGAAAATGTTTTATCTTACTATTAAATTCAACTAATAGTACAAATATTCTAAGTTTGAGCTTTTGGATTAAAAGCATCAAAATAATTAGCCTGATTAGGATATTCTTTTAAAATTTCAGCTCTTGTATTAGAGTGGAAAATTTATTACATTAATATTATAATATTTCTATTTTAAAATTTAAGCTCTTGTATTAGAAGAGCAAATTTATTAAGTTAATATTATAATATTTCTATTCTGAAATTTGAGCTCCTGTATTAAGAATCCCAAATCACAATGAGCTCTTAGAATGGCAGCTTTATTACGTTAATATTATACTATTTGTATTCTGAGATTTGAGCTCATTTTTTTATGTGAGTAAATTTGAGCTCCTACATTAGAGTGGCAGATTTATTACATAATATTAGAATATTTTCATCTGAAATTTGAGCTCTTGTATTAGAAACAAAATCAAGTATTTTGTTGTGTGAATGAAGTTAGAGGCTTGAATTCTTTTATTTACTTTAGTATATTTCTTAAAAAGAGCAAGCTTTGCAGATTTTTATTCAACGAAAGGAACATATTTCTTATAGTATTGAGTGTTTTTTTTTTTTAAAGATACTGTGTCATATTTGAATTTCTAATTTAAAAAAATGGTAGATTGAGCAAGTTGATTTGAATTTTTAAATACTGGCTAAAAGCCTTTTAAAATTAATTTTGATGCACTATCCAAGAGTTTCCAGTTTTAAAAATGTCATTTCTTGTGTGCCGCTCACTAGCAAGTTATATTTGCAAATTTTCACAAGACTAGTTTCGATGGTTTTACAGAAGCATCATCCTCAGTTTCCAAAGTGCAAATGAACAAGATAAGGTATAGTGATAAGATAAGAATGGCTGGACAGGAGCTAAGCTATGGGCATCATCTATTTATAAAACAAGAAAACTAAAACATAATTTCCTTAAAGGCTGAAGGTAAAGTTGAATTGAAATCAGGGTTGTTAACTAGAACAGAAAGATTTTTTTGAATGTGAAACACCTCTAGGAAATCGAATTCATCAATGGAAAATGTTCCTTGAATTATTTTGGCTGCTGAAAAATGGAAAGTGTGAGTTTCGGACCAACAATGCTGGGTAACAGAGGACTTCTGTGTTTCCTTTTCCTAATACATGCCTCATGTTCCTTAATGTGAATTTTAAGGCTCTCTTAGTTTGACCAATGTAAATCAAACCACAGTGGCAAGGAATCTTGTAAATACCCCCAGGAATAAAATTATAAGTGAAACTTATAATTTTGTTGAAAGGAAAATTAACAACCCAAAGTTAAATTTCTGTAAAATATGTGCAATTTTATAGCAAATTGATGGAAAGAAAGGAATGACAACAGAATCCTTATAATCTCCTAAAACAAGAGTGTGCCTTTTAGTGTGTTAAGATGAGAATGTTTTAACTGCTTGGTTAATAATATTGGGTGAAAAGTCTCTGTCAATAGCTACTGGTTTTAAATAATTTAGTTCTTGATCAAGAGCCAATTTGGAGCAGCAAACTTGAAGTGCATGGAAAACAAAGGAATAAAATGAAGCTAACTTTTGTTTAGTCGGGTGACATGATCTGAAGTGTGGTGGAAGGCAGACTGTTGAATGTTTTGGTAAACTGCAGTACTGAAGTTGGATGTGTTAAGTGTGACCAAAATGTCGAGGAACGGAAGAGAATTGCATGTCTCAAGTTCAAAAGTGAACTGAATAGCAGGATCAACGGAATTCATTATGGAAAGAACTTTATTTAAATCATCTTTATTACTGTCAAACAGGGGGAGCAGGTGTCATCTACATAGCAGAACCATAACAAGAAGTTTAAAGTTTCAAATAATTTTGATTCATAATAATGTATGTAGATATCAGCTAAGATGGGACTAAGCAGGCTTTCCATGGCTAATCCCTCAGTTTGCTTGTAATATTTATTTTGGAAAATAAAATGCACTTGTTTCAAACAGAGTTGAGTAAAGGAAATTAGCTAATCAATTTCAATGCAGGAGAAATGAAATTTGGTATGGCTGTGCTATTAGACGATACTTTTACTCTGTTTGACAGTAATAAATGAGCTTGAGACATGCAATTCTCTTCCACTCCTCGACACTTTGGTCACAAATAACACATCCAACTTCAGTACGATTTACCATATGCCAGTGGTGGGGAACCTTTTTTGGGCCACATGCCCAAAACCTCTTTGATTAAATCCCCATTGCAGAGCATTTTACCATGTTTTGCCAGGAACAGTGAAAGCTGGCAGTTGTTAAGATGGTTTGTTTTATAAAGATAATTCTAAAAACCAACTTTCTGGTAATTATAATCTCTCAGTTTCCTTGACAGTATTGCAAGTTCGGTAACAATCTTTGTGGTTGGTGTTAAAGTGCCATAAGTAAGTAAAACGTAAGCCGTAAGTAAAGATAAGCAAGTGAAACGTTCAAGAACAGACTAAAACATTTATTTAAATTTCATAGTATCATTTTATGGTGATTATTGATTAAGGAAGTAATATTTTAGTCATGTACCGGCTGCTGAGGCGCTGCATGCCATCTGTGGCACGTTTGCCATAGGTTCGCCATCACTGCCATATACCCATTGAACGTCAAATCCATTTGCCTTTCACCACACTTCAAATCATGTCATGTCACTAAACAAAAGTTAGCTTCATTTTATTCCTTTGTTTTCCATGCACTTCAAGTTTGCTCCTCCAAGCTGTCTCTTGATCAAGAACTAAATTATTTAAAAGCAGTAGCTATTGACATGGGCTTTTCACCCAACGTTATTAACCAAGCCATTAAAAAATTTTCCTCTCAGCATACCAAAATGCACACTCTTGTTTTAGGAGAAGAAAGGCTTAAAATTTCGCATTAAGGAACATAGGCATATGTTAGGAAAAAGGAAAAGCAGAAGTCCTCTGTTGCCCAGCATTGTTGATCTGACACTCCCCCTTTCCATTTTTCTGCAATTAAAATAATTCACAAAACATCTTCCATTGCTAAATTAGATTTTCTAGAGGCTTTTCACATTAAAAAAAAAAAATCTTTCTGTTCTAGTTAACGACCCCAATTCCAATCCATCTTTACCTACAGCCTTTAAGGAAATTACGTTTTGGTTTTCTTGTTTCATGAATAGATGGTGCCCGTAGCTTAACTCCTGTCCAGCCATTCTTATCTTATCACTATATCTTATCTCGTTCATTTGCACTTTGGCAGCTGAGGCTGCAGGTTCGGTAAACCATGGCTGTGAAAATTTGCAAATATAATGCTGAGTTTTGTTGTTTGACTTCTAAATTAATATTTGTTCAGCATGTTATTTTACCTTAATCTCCACTATGTTACACAGAGAACCATCTGAAGGTGCAACTAAGTATGAATATGTGAAATATCTTATCTTAAAAAGATATAAATTTAATAGTTAAAAGCTGAAACACTTAACAGTCAAAATCTATCGACATGAGAAGACTCCTGAAAAGTCTTGGAGAAATTACGCTCCTGAACTTCAGAGTTATTTTTTGGAGAGTATTGCAGATTTAGAAATTAAGACATTTGAGAATCGGAAAAATTTTATAGTTACTGAGCAAATTAAATATAGGGTTCCAATGGAATGAAAAGATCATTTCCTTGACCAATCAAACGAATGAAATTAAAAACTCTATATGAGCTATCAGAAATATTAGATGAGTATGAGAGCAATAAAAAGAAGGAAAATCCTTGAAAACAAGGTTTAAAACTTCAAGAAAGTCATCAAAATGGGAACAAAATGCAAGGTAGTTATTACCATAGACATAATCCTAAAGAAATCTCAAAAGATTTTTAATACTAAACCTATAATTAAGAAAGAATGTACTAATAAAATTCATGAAAGGGAATTTGAGAAACGGAGACAGCTTCATTGTTATGGATGCGGATCCTACTCGCATCTTCAACTTCAATGTAGTAAACTCAAGAAGAACTTTCTTTAAATGATTGTTTGGAAAACGATCTCAACCTGATTGAAATAATTCTAATATTGTTAAATAATTTTGGGAAATATCCTATTCCAGTAATTTCAGACAGTGAGAAAGCTTTCTCGCACATAAAGAGAAAAAACACAGATTATTTATGTTTCCTGCAGAAGAAGCATAAGGAGAGAATATAACAACTGTGAGAAACAACTATCACTGTGCAGTTTTTGGGCTTAACCGTAGTCTGTTTTTGTTATTTGCTAAGCTGAACTATCATTTAAATCGTACCTGGATCAACTTGTAGCTACAGTTAAAATTTTTAAAGAATCCTTATATGTACATAACTGATCAGTTTTAAGAATTCTGAAGAATTAAATAGATTTGTATTG